GCAGTTCAAAACCCCCTCCCGGGCAAAGGGGGGGCAGAGAGTTGTCTGAATAGTGGTAGAGCCTCTTATGCACCCCCCAAGTTTTTCTTTTGGGGGGTGAAAAGAGTGCTCCCACGGAGTTCAGACTTGTCTCCACTTCCCAGCTGCTTTTGCCCTTAGGGACAAAACGAGCCACTGCAACCACCTCCGTGATTAAAGAGAACTGGTGAGATTTTTTTTATAAACGGACAGAGCTGAGTAGAGGATTTAGTTTTTGCTTCTTTGATTTATTTGGATTTTAAGTTTCAAGACTTGTTTTTACTTTTATACGCCCTCTTTTTATTTTTTTTTCCCTTTGTTGAAAGGGAAAGTAAAATGGCGATCGGCAAGCCTCTCGGTGTTTTTTTTTCGGAAGCTAGAATGGTGACTGGCAGGCTTTTTGGTGTTTCTTTTTTTCCCTTTCCTTTTTTCTTTTTTGTTTTTTTTATGATTGGAATGGAGTGTTAGTATTATTATTTTTGTTTAATTTTCGTGTTTTGTATTTTGTACTTTTCGGTACTTTTAAAAAATGGAATGGATTTTTTCTATTTAATTATTTTTTTTCTTCTCCTCCTTTTTCTTCTTTTTTTTTGAACTCCCTTCTTTTTAATAATGATCCCTCTTGAAGGATTTTTTTTTTTTTAATTTAGGGAGTTAATTTCTTATTTTTTTTGCTTAATTTTTGCAATTTTTAAGAAGGAATAAAGTTTTTTTAAGATGGCCCCAAAGCGTCCAGTAATCTCTACAGCTTCCAAGGTGGCTTCTTCTTCAGTGTTATCGTCAGGGCAACAACCTAAATTAATAGTTTCACCTTCTTCCTTGCCACAGTCAACAATGGTGAAGGACTTGCAAGATATGATACTTCAAATTAGGGGAGAAATGAAAGAGATTTTAGAGGAAAATAATAAGACTTTGAGGCAAGAGATAGTTTTGACTTTAAAAGGAGTTGCTTCTGTTCTTGAAAAGTTGAACTCTCGCGTAGAAGAGGTAGTAGAAAAACTGGAATTGATGGAGGGAAAATTTGAAAGTATGGAAAAAGAGATGAAAAACTTTCAAGATGAGATTCTTATGCTTCAATATAAACAAATGGAATATGCCTTAAGAATAAGAGGTTTACATGAGTCTGTGCAAGGAGATTTGAGAGAGATGGTGGCAAAGGACTTTGCTGTGATTCTGAACAGAGAAGAAGAGGAAATACTTAGTGGAATTGATCAGACATTTAGAGTTAACTCTGTGGTGGCAGAGCAAAAGAATTTGCCAAGAGATGTGGTAATTTACTTTGGGAAAAGATCCCTGCGCAATGAAATTATACAAGCCTTGTTATAAGAAGAGGTTTCAAATTGCTTCACAAGATGTTATAATTTTAAAGGAGATCCCACCAAAAATTTTAAGAAGAAGAAAGGAGTTTGCTTTTTTAGCAGATGAACTTAAAAAGAGACAAATTTTGTTTAGATGGGATGTTCCGACTGGAATGGTGGTGAGCTACCTGGGGATACGTTATAGTCTTAATACTGTTTCTAAAGCAAAAGATTTTTATACTTCGATCCTGAGGGTATGCTCATCGTCACCTATCATGTTTAAAGCTTTGGAAGAAAAAAAGGCAGAACTGCAGTCAGAAGTGCTAAGAATTATGAAAATTGGGAAACTTCAGTTTGAGGGGCCTCAACAAGTAGAGATGGAGGAGCAGAAGACAACCTGTGTAACATATAATTGTAAAGAAAAGGATCAACAGAAGAAGTTTAAGGAAGGTCCACAAGTATTGGTTCCTGAATCTGCGGGAGAAGTAGGATTTATAAATTCTTTGGAGCAATCTTTAATGCTAGAACTGCAGTCTGAAGAGCCTATATTAATTAAAAATGGGAGGCCTCAACAAGTAGAGATGGAGGAGCAGAAGATAACCTGTGCAACATATAACTGTAAAGAAAAGGATCAACAGAAGAAGCTCAAGGAAGTTCCACAAGAGATGAAAGACCAGAAGACAACTTGTCCAACATATAAACGTATAGAAAAGGAGGTTGAGGAAACCTCACAGGTATTGGTTCCTGAGACTTGTGCAACATATAAATGTAAAGAAAAAGCAACATGTAAACATAAAGAGAAAGACCAACAGAAGAAGGAGGTTGAGGAAGTTTCACAGGTATTGGTTCCTGAGTTTGTGGGAGAACCAGGACTTACAAAATTTTTTGGAGCGATCTTCAAGGGCAGATTTTAATGCATTTCTTTCGATGCTTATGGGCAAGAGAGACTGATAAGGATTGTGTTTATAGTGGACGCAACCGGCTATTGGACAGAAGATTATGGAGACTGAATGAAAATTTTAGATAAGAAGTTTAAGTTTAAGTATTTTGTTTAGGTATTTAGAAGATTATTGAGATTGCAGGAGAAGTAAAATTTATAATGTTTTTGGAAAATGTCTTAAGTAATGTTTAAATATGTGTTCTGGGATAATAATATGTATGACATGAAAAGGTTTAGAGTATATTATAAAATGATGGATAATAATATAAATGATATGAAAAGGGTTTAGAGTATACTATAGTTTGTTTAAAGATTGGTTTCTTTTCTTTTTTTAATTATTATTATTATTCTTAAGAGAAGTTAATTTGTTTAATTAAATTTTAGATAAGAAGTTTAGATATAAGTATTTAGTTTAACTAATTAAATGAGTATCCAGTCCTAATGGTATAATGAATGTTCATATGCTTATTTTTGTGTTTTAGAGTAAAGAAAGAGGGAGATTAGATTAGATTTTATAGTGTAGGTATAGATATTTAAAGAAAGTAATGTTCAAATTGGTGTTTTGGTGATTCTTTATAGAATGATGGGTAATAATATAACTACAATATTAGAAAAGGTTTAGAGCACAGGTCGGCAACCTGCGGCTCCGGAGCCGCATGCGGCTCTTTGAGCCTTCCCCTGTGGCTCCCAGCCTCCTCTGCCTTTGCAGAGAGAGACAGAGACAGAGAGAGGCAATTGCACGTCCCTGCTTCTCTCTCTCTCTCTTTCTGTGTGTGTTTTGTGTGTGTGTGTGTGTGTGTGTGTGTAAAAAAGAGAGTGCACTCAGTGTTCTCCGAGAAGCTGAAAAGCTTTCTGGGCGGAGCTCCTCCCTTTGCTGCGTCTCTGCAGGAAGCAGGAAGCAGGAAGGGCAGGAGAGAGCTAGCTAGCCCAGCTAGGCTGACTCAGGAATTCTGGGAGTTGAAGTCCATGAGTCCATGAGTCATAAAAGAGACAAGGTTGGTTACCCCTGAGATTGTTGGACAACAGCTTGAAGCTTGCCAGGTGAGCAGCAGATGGGGGGGGGGAGAAAGAGAGAGAGAGAAAGAGAGAGAGGGAGGGAGAGAGAGAGAGAGGAAAGAGAGAGAAAGAAAGAAAGAGAGTGGGGGAAGAGGAGTGGCAGACCAAAGGCAGATAGAGAGGGAGGGAGGGAGAGAGACAGAGAGAGAGACCCTTTTGACATCTAAAATGAAGATAACACTGCATATATCCTTTTTTTACCTGTGTGTGTATGTAATTTTATTCTCTTAAAGCATTCTCTTGGTGATCATTGTTTTAATAGTATGGATATTCCCAAGAGTGATATTTTTACTTTTATTTTTAGTGTGTGTGTGTGTGTACACACACACACACACACACACACCTATAATAAAGGTAAAAAAGGATATATGCAGTGTTATCTTCATTTTAGATATCAAAAGGGTTTTCGGCTCCCGGTGTTTTGTTTTTGGTGGGAAACGGGTCCAAGTGGCTCTTTGAGTGTTTTGGGTTGCCTACCCATGGTTTAGAGTATATCATAATATGTGTTTAAAGCTTGTAATTATTATCTTTTAGAGAAGACAATTTGTTTAATTTAAGGTATTTAGATTTGTTTGGATTTATATGTGTTTTAAGTTTTTTTATTTCTTATCTTTTTTGAAAAATTTTAATTAAGCCTGTACTCAGCTCTGGGAAGGTTGAGGGAGGGTATGGGAGGTTTGGAGAGAGGGGGGAAGGTATGGGAGGGTGGGGGGTTTGGGGAAGGGATTTATTTTGTAAAATTCAAAAACTTTCAATAAAAAAAAAAAGACTGTAATGAAATCCGTCCTCTGTCTTCCCAAAGTGGATTAAGGAAAACATTTTGATTGGTTAATGGGATCTATTATACAAATGAAAGTGTCAGCTGGAAACACTTGGAGAAGAAAGTAGAATGTTTCTAGAACCAGCTTCACTTTTTGCCAAAAACTGGGCAATGTTGGAAAAGGAAATAATCATTCTCTCCAATGTTCCAGAAATAATTGAAGAAGGGTAGGAGTTTTTATACAAAAATCACAACTACATCATCAATATTTTGTAATTTATCTAATCTGGAAGTGACGTGGATTGGCAAAATCATGGAATAATAAAAATAATAAAAATAAGTATAAATACCAGTGCTCTCCAAAACATTCAAAATAAATACTTTGTGAAACATGTTGACAAGATCAATGCATGTTAATTGTACCCACCAAAGGTTTTTCAAAGCTTTCCTCAACCATCTGTGTCATTATGCTTTGCTGGTGGCCTCAGAGGTGTGCATGGTCTGTGCACGCACACAGATACATACAAATAGCTGGGCACTGCCTTGAACATCTGTTTTAGCATTTCAGGAAAGACTCACTTCGGTGTGCTTTGTGAAGCATTGCTTTTCTCTTTCTCTTTTCTCTTCACTGGTTCACAGGAAGACTAATATTTGAATAAGCAAAATTATGTACTGTAATAAAATGTGCAGGACCCAGAGAGAATAGAATAGAATAGAATAGAATAGAATAGAATAGAATAGAATAGAATAGAATAGAATAGAATAGAATAGAATAGAATAACAGAATTGGAAGGGGCCTTGTAGGTCCAAACCCCCCCCCCCGGTCCCAAGATCACGTGAAATCCAAGAAAACATTTCCCTTTGCTTTCATTGTTTGTAGGCCCCTACTAGAGAAGACCCAATGGGAGCTAAATGTGTGTCCCTTTACCTTATTACGCAGATATCCAAAATCCAGGGAGCAGGATGTGGCACTATTCCGCTGTTTTACTACATAACAAAGGTAAGTTTCATGACGGCCTTTAGCCCATCTCATGTTCTTGAAATGGTAGAGAAATTTCTTTTGCTTCATTAGAAGACTGCAGGGAGGCAGGAATATTAAGAAAATTAACAGCACACATTTATAGATGAAGGTCAATATAGGGAGCCCCAGGACAAATCAAGAGCTTGACCAAAGAGGAGATTAAAAATAAGGAAGTCAGAAGCAGTTAGTCAACTAAAGGGTTATCATTTTATGCTAGGCAAAAGAATACACCCTATGTATTGAAGCATTTAACAAACAAAAAAGGACAAAAGAAAATCAATGCATATAATTTAGTGTATGCTGGCATGACAAGATCAACAGGCTCCCCTGCAAGTTTTAGAACATTTTTCTAAAGCATGTAAGACATTTTTGTCTGACATGCTTAGTGAATTAGGTTGCCCTGGTTCATTAGCAATGACTTGATGACACATCATCCATCCATCCATCCACCCATCCATTCACAATATTGTGGATATCCAATATTCACAGGGTAACTGTCCTTAAATATGTTTTTTTCATGTTTCTTTATCATATTTTGCTATCAATTTTATTTTAAAAGGATGCTTTCTGACCCATTCCATTCCTGTATGTCTTTCTCTACAACCCATATGGAGTTTTAGTCAGAGTATGCCATGGCATTCAGGAGTGCCCCCCCCCCCAATGACATTCAGTCAGCAATACAGCTTACAGGAGCTCTAAGCTATAAAAAGGAGGAAATACAGAGGAGGACTATATTAACTTTAATGTAGAAAGCCACAGTGATGTGTGGCTAAAAATGTGAGGCAACCTTGGTTAGAATCTCTCAGTTCTTCACTTTATTCAACATTCACATCTAAATAGGATCAACTTATTAAAAGCACCTAAAGCCCAAACTGTCAAGTAAAGTTTATTACAGATGTTACATGCTCCAAAAGAAAGCCTATATCTCTGACATTCCTGTTTTCACAGTGAAGAGGATTCTTTCTCTATCCTTCCCATCCTAGGTAGAGGCTCAAAGAGAAAGCCTAAGGATGTCAATCTTCTTATTATGGTAACAAAGTAAACGAAAAGAGGCACTTCCTTTTTTTATTATATTTTTTATTAATTTTTTGCACAAGTATAAGTCATTCAATAGTTGGTAAACAGTGTGATGTCTGGATTACATTTGTAAAAACAGTCCTTAACAATTGATTTCTTTAATCTGCATTCCATATATTAATTTTGTTTACTTTCTTCTTTCCCTGAAATATCCTTTTTTGCAAACATTACATTAATACAATTCTTGTTGTTTTAATAAATGATAATTTAGTATATATTTTTCCAATATTCCTAAAAAATAATTAACATATTGATACATTTATTTTCTTTCCATTTATTTGGATTGCCTTATCATCAATTCTGTTACAGCCCTTATTTTAGTTTATTTCTCCCACCAAATTCTAAATATTTTTACTGGTAAAGGTTTTCTCAGTGATTAGTTACATTTACATTGACAGACTGGATTCTATTTTTCCCATATAAGCCATCTCACATTTTTACATTTCTTAAGTATTAAATATAAGAGTAAAAAAAGAGGGGAAAAGACAAAGAATGAAAAAGAAGTAAAAAAATAAAAAAGAATAGAAAAAAGCAGTAATAACAGAACATAGGAAATAACATAGTACTTAATATATATATATATCCCTTCTAGATTAATAGTATTTATTTTCTCGAATTTCTTATTCTTTTTAATCATAGTTAAGAATATATTTAATCTTTAAACATTCTATTCAATAAATCTAGTCATCTAATCCCTTAACTCTAATTCAAAGCATTTTATATGTGTGTGTATATATATACTTTTCTTGAGTTCAGTCACTTTTAAATATCTAAACCATTTCATCCTTCTTAAAGTGTTCCAATATTCCTAAACAATAATCATCATATTAATAAATTTCTTTTCTTTTCAGTCATTTATGCCTTATCAAGGTTTTCTCAGTGATTAGTTACATTTATATTGACAGACTTAATTCTATTTTTCCATATAAGCCATCTCACTTTTTTACATTTCTTAAGTAATGGATATAAAAATTAAAAAAAAGAATGGAAAAAAAAGAATGAAAAAGAAACAAAAATAAATCAAAAAGAAGAGAAAAAAGCAGTAATAACAGAGCATAGGAAATAATATAGTACTTAGAATATATATCCCTCCTAAATTAATAGTATTTATTTTCTCAAATTTCTTATTCTTTTTAATCATAGTTAAGAATATATTTAATCTTTAGACATTCTATTCAATAAATCTAGTCATCTAATCCCTTAACTCTAATTCATGTGTGTGTGTGTGTGTGTGTGTGTGTGTGTGTGTGTGTGTGAATTAGTATATATACATATATACTTTTCTTAAATTCAGTCACGTTTAAGTATCTAAAACATTTCATCCCTCTTAGAATGGTGTGTTTCAAATTTTTTCTATTTCTTTAACCATATTCAAACACATGTTTCTTTTTTAAGTATTCTGTCTGGTATGTCCCATCATCTTTTTTCTTAATCTCTTTTCTTTGCCCAGAATCTTTCTTGATCAATATACTTTGCTGGATCCAAAGGTTTTCCCATACGATCGTAGGTATTCCTGTAGATGTAGAAAGTAAATCAATATCTCTGTCTTGAGCACTTGCCCTCTTCTTTCCATTAAAATCCCTTCTCTTGCCTTCCAATTTGTTTTGTGATATTGAAGTGTAAGTTGTCTTTCCTTCCAGTTGAATTAAATCATATGCTTCTATTTTGTGAAAGTCCATCTTTAAGCCTTTTCCCTTTGATTTATATTCAATCATCTCTGCTATTTTCTCCTGAGGATTTTTTTGAAGTGAACTTAAATTGGAGATAAGTTGACTTATACTTTCAAAGTTGTTTTGTATTTCTTTGTGGTTTAAAATCATTGTCCTTTGAATGGATTGCAGCGTGTCTTGTAAAGCATCCATTGTTTCTGTAAATATCACTTTCTTTGAGCAGCTGTATTTACTAAAATTTTGAAAGCCACAAACAAAAGCTTTATAGCTCCTCATCCACCAGTAGGTGTCAGTGTTGGATCATTTTTCAGTTTTCTAGTCTTTTTTTCTCCTTAAAGAGCTAGATTCGCCACTTCCAATAGCCAAAAGGGGGGGAATCCCTCCCTTTTTTTACTCTTGGAGGTATTTTTGCTTCTTGGGAGTTCTTTTTTTTCCAGGAAAATAAGTAGGATAGAAAAAATTAGTTCTTACCCAGCTTCAAACACACTGTTTACAATCAGTTTAGGTAGAGCTTCTTGACTTCCATTTGCTTGCAGCTAGGGCTAGACAATGGAATTAGCTAGCCTTTCTTCTGTTGGTTTCTGGAAGGCTTCTCCTGGACCAATTGGAGAGACCACCGTCTCTCCTAGGTGCGAAAAGGGGCACTTCCTCATGGCTGCATAAATGTACATTCTTCCTGTATCTGAGTTGGCAGAAAAGAATGTCAACACAATTGCACTCCTCATCACCCCCACTGAGGTTTATTGTGCTTCCAGAACAAGGCTGGTGAGGAGTACTGTAAGGACCCACTTCAATCCACATCTTAAGAAAGCAGAACTCTTGGAAACGGTCTCTTCCAACAGGAACTTTTATTAAGAGAAATTGATAGCAGGCATGATAGACAGGATCTGAGGGATTTCCTTACAAATTGATATTTTAAAGTGTCCCTAAGCAGCCCCCAACCTGCAGTTCTTCCGGGCAACTCAGACCGGCAGATTTCTAGGTGTTAAATCCAGGAAAGATAACATCAATCCAGCTCCATTGTACATGATCATTCAACAGTTCCTCAAATCTTATTTTGATGACGGAAAAATAAATCAGATTCCAGAGGCTGCATCTTTCCCCTCCCCCCCCCTTCCTAGCTGGCTGATAAGGAGGAGTAGTTCAGAGGGGCATAGGATAAAAGGCTAATGGTTATATTGTGATGGTTAGCAGACCCAAGGCGAATAAACAAAAGGTTACTTTGTAGTGAATAGAGGAGGTGAAAGTAATAAAACCCTCATGCATACCCCCTCCCCCTTAGTAGTATGGCAGGATCCAGGAGAAAGTAAGAATTGGTTTTATATCAGAGAAGATAGATAGAAAGGAAATATAACTGGATCTGACAAGTGCCATCCCTACAGATATAATGCAGGATGGTAATATAGAAATTGAAGAATCCATCAGCTTCCTTTTCTTTCACTTTGTCCTTGTTGGCAGAAAAACCAACTACTAGTCACTCAAAAGAAGGCATAGAAGGCAGCTACTCCACTGTCAATCAAAGTTCTGCGGAATATAAGGGCTGAGGATCCACAACTATAGCATCCCCAACATATGGCCATCTGCCCTCCATTTAAACACCTCTAGTAAAAAAAAAAAAGAATCCACAATCTCTCAGATCATTATTTGTCAGGGAATTGGGAAGCAGGTGTCCAAATGGAGTCAGGGACGCTGATAAGAACCAGCAATTTTAAATAAATAAATATATTTATAGTAAATAAGAGAGACAAACAAGAGCATAGTCACGTAAATCAACACAGCAGGAACATCAGGCAAATCACAGAGAGCACACACAGCACACAGGGCAAAAAAGTGGGAAACAAGGAAATGCCCTCTTTACTCTTACGGCAACACAATTACAGCTCAGATTCCCTCATGCACTGGCCAGCTCTCTTTAAATCAATTACCTATAACTATGTGTACTTACTCACTGTCCAATCCTTCACTACTCCAGCTATTAAATTTTTATTATCTTAACACCCTCCAATTTATAGCTGAACAGCATTTAAACCAAATTGTTTCACAAGATCCTTGTGTTTCTGTATATCCAATGGCTTTGTCATAAGGTCAGTCTTCCAATGGATAATAGATAGATAGATAGATAGATAGATAGATAGATAGATAGATAGATAGATAACCTTTATTGTCATTTTTTACTGTGGGCACAATGGCATACATTAAAATGAAATTTAGTTGCTTGCCCTCAAAGTGTACACACACATAACACACATTTAAACATTATATATAATATATGTATAGTCTTACACCCTTACATATAAGTAACATATAAATATTAATCACTGTCCATTTGAATACATAATAGAAGGAGGAAGCTTTAGAGTTCACAAGGTTAATACTGTATGGAACAAAACTGTGACTGAATCTGGATGTTCTGCTTCAGATACCATGAAGCCTCCTCCCAGAAGGTAACAAAGAAAACAGGTCGTGTAGAGGATGTGTAGTGTCCCAGATAATTTTGCAGACCCAGCTCAAGCAACACTTATATGCTATGTCCTAGATAGAAGGGAGGGAACTTCCAATAATCTTTTCAGCCATCCTCACCACTCTCTGCACCACCTTCCTGTCTGAAGCTGTGATGCTTCCAAACCAGACTGTGATGCTGTATGACAGGATGCTCTTGATTGTCCCTCCGTAGAAAGTGGTAAGGACAGGGAAAGGAAGATGTGCTTTTCTCATGTGATGCAGAAAATGCAGGTGCTGCTGTGCCCACTTCACCAATGTCTTGCTGTTGAGCGACCAAGCCAGCCTACTTGTTAACTGCACACCCAGGAATTTGATGCTGGTAACTATCTCTACAGGTGAATCATTAATGCACAGAGGAGTGTGGCTTGTCTGCCTTTTCTGAAATTGACAATGATCTCTTTGGTTTTTCCAATGTTTAAAACTAGGCTGTTTTCCTTACACCAGTTCACCAAACCTTCAACCTCCTTGAAGTAAGCACCCTCATTGTCATCTTGAATAAAGCCCACTACTGTTGTATTATCTGCAAACTTCACAATATGGTTGGTGGCAAACCTAGCACAATAGTCATAGGTTAACAGGGTGAACAGCAGGGAACTTAGGACACAGCCCTGAGGAGAACCTGTGTTCAAGAAAATGGTGTTAGAAATATTTGTTCCAGCACATACATACTGGGACCTGTTAGTAAGAAAATTAAGAATCCAGTTGCACAAAGAAGTGTTTAAACCTAAAGGGCCCAGTTTGTCTACTAGATGCTGGGGACTGATTGTGTTAAATGCTGAATTGAAGTCAACAAACAACAAATGCACATGAGTATTTCTTTCCTCTAAGTGTTCCAAGCTCAAATAGAGAACAGAAGAAATAGCATCCTCGGTAGAGCGATTTGGTTGGTAAGCAAACTGAAGTGGGTCAAATGCTAGTGGGAGGCTAGATACAATAATGTCCTTTATCAGCTTTGTGGGAAGACAGCACCCCCCCGAGAAAGAAATATTTTAGAGATATTAAAAAGGACAGAATATTGTATTTTCCCAAAGGAATAATGGAGAAGATCTTTAAAAGCCAGAAACCTCTCCCCCCCCCCAGCCAGAAACCCAGGCAAGCCTGTAGATAAACCTTTCAGAAAGGTTGGAGCCAGGAAACTGGAGCTGATGGGATTAAAAAGACAAAGATCCCTAGAATCAACAACACCTCACCAAAAAAAAATCCAACACAAATTATAGCCATCAGCCACAGCCTCAGGGAAGCAGGCTATGACCTTTAGGACATGATAGGATTAACCCACCACCATCAGAATACCAGAAAGGCACACTCAGACTCAGGTCAAAGTACATGACACAGGAAATACAAAGCTTCAAACAGGAACAACTCCAAACACAAAAGCCCAGGAAGGTATAAAAAAACACCGCTTCCAGCAACATGTAATCAGCTTTCCCAGAGCCACACTTCTGTCTGGCTTTGCTCTTCAATAAACTACAACCTTCTTTCTAAAGCAGTCTCCATTTTGTTTATTCCCAGCATGGATTGGATCCTGATGAAGATTTTTTCTTTCAACAATTTGGCGACCCAGATGGGACTTCAAGCTAACATCTCCAGTGGACTGAGACTGGTAAGCCCCAACTTGCCCGCAGCAGACCCCTTGTGTCTGTGGATTGGTTTCTCAGGCCCTGGCCAGGTGGAACGAGTTTTGAGTTTGAGCTCAAGGGCTGCTTTGGAAAGAAAGCGAATACCTCTAAATTTTAACTTTAAAGCCCAGGATAGTGATGGAAATGTGTGTATGTCTGTGTGTGTGAGTGAGAAGACCCTTTTCCCACTCACAGTTGGATCTTGTTCCCTCTGGCCTTTCCTAATCATAGAAAGGATCTGTTTAAGTGACAGACTCTGGAAAGCATGGGGGTTTGGTCAGAGCACAGGACCTTTTGTTAGGGAAAAAGGAGAGGCTGTGTGAAAATGAAATGGAATGAGTGAATGAGAGAGTTGAACCTGGGCAACTGCTGAAACCACTGTTCAAAGTTCACTCTTCTAGGAGGGACCCTCATACTCTGTGAAAAGGAAGACAGAGTCCTCCCAGATCCTTTTGTGGTCAAGGGGCTAGAGTGGCTTCAAAAGTCACCTGGCCAAGGGGCTAGGATGGCTTCAAAAGTTGCCTTTCAGCAAGGGCTGAAAGATTGCCTTGCTGGAACAGGAAAGAGTCACTCTGGGGATGCAGGAGAATTAAAAAAAAGACTCACTGCGGGTAAATAGGTCAGAGTCTTGCCTGAAAATATGGGAAGCTCTGATTCCAAGGTTCTACTGATGTCTCCTTTAGGGAGACTGTTAAAAGCCTGGGATCTAAAAATGTTACCCATTCAGGCCGGAATGAAAAAAAAGTATGCACGCCAATTATGTAAAGAGTGGTCTTTGCTCAGGGCTTTGCTGGGAAACCAATTTGGCTAAATAAAGGCATTTAAAAGGAAAAGGAAATTAAAATATAGGAATTGTCACAGGTTCCGACTAATGAAGCACTTCAAAGAACTTTCAGGCATGTTTCCTAAAGTCTTTATTGCAAAGCTACAATTTTTGCCGGTCACCATGATGGACGGGTTGATGCCAGAATCTGAACTTCCTTTCGCTGGCATCAAGCTTTTCTTGCTAAACCCCTCCCTTCTCATGCAGTCACAGGTCACATTATCCAATTAGTGTGAAGGTCAAAAGTTTACTTCCTCTTTCTTTCCCGGGCTTTTTTCCCCCCCACTCTAAGCTAAGTATTAACCCAATAAATACCAGACAGTTTTGCATATTGTCAAAGCAAGAATATACAGTATTTGCAGCATTGACAGGAATAGTGATTTCTCTCTCTCCTGTTCTATGCAACCAGTTGATATGTTTAAGATTTGTGACTTCCCTAATTTGATTTAAGATTTGAGATTTGTGATGGGAATGACCAGGTTGTGTAAAACTAAGAGTTATGTTTCCTATGCTGTTTTCTTTCCCTTGTCTTTGTGTGTGTGTGTGTGTGTGTGTGTATTTGTGTCAAAGTCTTTGTTTATTAGGTAAATGTTAACTGTTAAATGTCCCTAATCCCTAGAGAAAAAAATAAATAAATTCTGCTAGGAAAAGAAAAAAAAGTCAAAATAAGCCACCAAAAGGAAAATACTCTCACCCTGTTTGCCTGGCCAGCAAAATAGGATGAAGGGAAATGAGTTCCCTTTTGCCTTCCCTTGTTAGGAGGGAATGTTTTAAGCTCATTTAGAGAAAAAGTTTTATTTGTGCATTTTCTGTATGTTGTAAATGGATTTTATCTGTCTATCCTTCTGAAATATGAGGTGTGTCTACCCACATGCGCCTCATGAGCTCAAGTTTGCTTGTGTAGGGAAATAATCTTCTTAAATTACTTTTCTTATTCCATCATTAATCAGTGAAACTACTATGAAACTGATCCTGGAACACATAAGCATTTATTTTCAATCTCTAATGTAGTCCATTCTAAAATAAATGTTAAAGGATTCTTCATGCCCTCACAAATTGTACACCTTAAAATACTAGGGTTATAAAATTATGTGGAGCTTTCAGCATTCTCTAACTGCCCAGCATTTTCAAATTGCAAGTCCTTAAGTTCTCTTTAACATGTTGCAAATGTTCAGTTTCAGAAGTGAAACCATTTATTTATTTATTTATTTATTCTCTTACCAGAATCCAGCCTCTCTTTTGTCCTCATCTGTGGTGTCCCCATTTTGTTGTGACTGGTCTTATCTGTTTCTTTAACTACTGCAGTATTAATGCCTTTTTAAACTCTGTCTGCAAGTTACCCCTCCCCTCACTCCACTTCTTCATTTCTTATCCTCTGTTCTCCATACCTTTGTCTGATCAGCAAGGTCTCCACCCAGAAAGCGGGGAGGGGACCCTGTTCTCATGTCTTTCAGCCTTGCACAGATGACTCCCATAACCTTTGGAAGAAGAGCACACTGCAGAGAAGACCCTCCATTCATTTCAGCCATGGAATTGGATTTGAATCCAGACATCCACTAGAAAGCCACAATGCCATCAGAGTGGAACAGATCTTCCCAAGTCCTACCATCCCTCCCCCCCCAAGATGCCTGTGAAAGGAGGAAGGAAGGAGTCCTGGAGCCATTGGCCCTCATGTGAAGCCTCAGAGGACAACTGGAAAGACTATAGGGGAGGGCAGAAACTCATTGTAAGGTTTTCTTTCTTGCCTCATTTGTATTGTAATAAGCCATTTGAATGTATTCATGGAGGGATGACATTTGGGAATGGTTGACACAGCAAGTATTGAACACCTTGGTTCTTGTTCGTGGCACTAAAGCTTTGCATACACAACTTCCTGCAAATTCCAGGGGGAATCAGGGCCCCCTCAGGTGATTTGCAATTCATATGCCCTTACTGAGGAGGTAACAGGAAAGAGATCTGCAAACCCAAGCCCTGAATATGTTGCACTGGTGGACTCATAGTGAGAGTCCTAGGGCTCACTATGTGCAATTTAATAGCCTGGCTTGCACAGTGGTTAACCTCAATTGAACATCACAAACCTGGATGCACTGAACTAAGTGCTAAGGCAGGAAACAACCCTTGAAAATGGGCAGCTAGTGGTTATGTACTGAGGCAAACATGGCTGTGAAGAATTTTGGAGGCATGTGCTTCAAAAACAACAACAACACTGACTGGAAGCTCAAAGTGACATCCAACATCTGAAAATAATTGGCACAGAATATTGGACACTATAAATTTCTTTTCCATCTAACAGAACTTTTGCTCTGACTTTTAGACCCTTATGGGTTGGAGGCACCCCCTTTTTGGAGCCACTGCAGGAATCTTTTCTGCTGCCTCTATTAGTATCTCCCCTTTTTGCGCTAAGAGTTTAAAAGCTTGTTAATCAAGTCGCCCTGACCAGATCAATTTTAATCTTGTGCCAGTAAAAGTGTGTCATTCACACTTATATGGCACAAAGGGTGAAGACAGCACCCCCTCACAGAGAAAAAAATATTTTAGGGATATTGAAAAGGACAGAATATTATTTTTTCCCAAAAGAATAATGGAGAAGATATTTAAAAGCCAGAAACTTCTCCCCCCCCCCAGTCATAAACCCAGGCAGAAGTCAGCTCAGTAGATAATCCTTTCAAGAAGGTTGGAGAGCCAGGAAGCTGGAGCTAATATGACCTTTAGGACATAATAGGATTAACCCACTACCATCAGAATACTAGCAAGGCACACTCAGACTCAGGTCAAAGTACATGACACAGGAAATACAAAGCCTCAAACAGGAACAACTCCAAATATAAAAGCCCAGGAAGGTATAAAAACCCACCACTCCCAGCAACATGTGGTCAGCTTTCCACAGCCATGCTTCTGTCTGGCTTTGCTCGTCAATAAACTACAACCTTCTTTCTAAAGCAGTCTCCATTCTTTTTATTCCCAGCTTGGATTAGACCCTGATGAAGTTTTTCTTTCAACAACTTCTCAAAGCATTTCATAATGATGGATTTCAGTGCAACTGGATGGTAATCATTGATACTTGTAATTGTAGACTTTTTTTGGCACTGGCAGAATAATGGCCATCTTAAAACACGATGGGACCTCTGCCTGCTGCAATGAGAGATTGGAAATATCTGTAAGAACACAAGCTAGCTCATCAGCACATTCCCTTAGAACCTGCCCAGGGATATTATCTGTACCAGTTATCTTCTGAATGTTAACTTTCTGCAGTGTTTTCCGGACAGAGGTGACATCAAAGCTAAGCACTTGCTTGTCAGGATGGGGCACAGCTTTCCTAGCAGAAGTGCTAGTTGATGCCTCAAATCTTCCAAAAAATGTATCCAGCTCATTTAGAAAGTCTGTGTCATCCTTGCATCTCGATGGAGCTATCTTGTAATCCGTAATGACCTGGATTCCTTGCCACATGCATCTGGTGTTTGTTGGGTCCTAAAAAAAGTTCTGAATTTTCTGACAGTGGGCTTGCTTTGCACCTTTTATGGCACTTTTCATATTAGCTCTGGGTGTTCTAAGTGCCAGCATATCACTGGGTTTAAAAGCCACATTTCGTGCTTTCAGCATCTTGCGGACCTCATAAGTCAGCCACAGTTTTTCATTAACAACAATGCTTTTAAGGACACAGACATTGTCAATGCACTTTTGAATATATGTAAAATTAGGTCTATTACATTTTCTTTCACCGCCTCTCTGACATTACAATATATCATATCAACATGTTTGCTTCTTGTTTTTACTCTCACTTGTTGTTATCTGTATACAAGCTGTGTTATTTTCAAACACTGGTATAGGTCCTTTCACACAGCCTCACAAATTTCAGATTTTTTTTCTAGTAGGATGCTTTTAGAATTTTATATAGCTTTTATGTATCCTATAGTTTTTAAACACTAGTTTTCAACACTAGGCCACTCAGGTATGAACTAAATCATATCCCTGATGAATATACAGGTGACAAATAGAGGTGACAAATAGATTTAAGGAATTAGATCTGATAGACAGAGTGTCTGAAGAACTATGGACAGAGGTTCGCAACATTGTACAAGAGGTAGCAATTAAAACCATCCCAAAGAAAAAGAAATGCAAGAAAGCATAATGGCTGTCTGAGGAAGCTTTGCAAATAGCTGAGGAAAGAAGGGAAGCGAAAGGCAAGGGAGAAAGAGAAAGATACATCCAACTGAATGCAGAATTCCAGAGAATAGCTAGAAGAGATAAGAATCCCCTCTTAAATGAACAGTGCAAAGAAATAGAAGAATATGGAGAACCAGAGATCTCTTCAAGAAAATTGGAGATATGAAGGGAACATTTCATGCAAAGATGGGCATGATAAAGGACCAAAATGGCAGGGACCTAACAGAGGCAGATGAGATTAAGAAGAGGTGGCAAAATTACACAGAAGAACTATACAAGAATGAGCTTAGCATCCCTGATAACCACAATGGGGTGGTCACTGACCTCGAGCCAGACATCCTAGAAAGTGAAGTGAAATGGGCCTTAAGAAAGCTGAGCAACAACAAAGCTAGTGGAGGTGACAGTATTTCAGCTGAGCTATTCAAAATCTTAAAAGACAATGCAGTAAAAGTGCTACACTCAATTGGCCAGCAAATTTAGAAAACTCAACAGTGGCCACAGGATTGGAAAAGGTCAGTTTACATTCCAATTCCAAAGAAAAGCAATGCCAAAGAATGTTCAAACTATCGCACCATTGCATTCATTTCACATGCAAGTAAAGTTATGCTTAAAATCCTATAAGCTAGACTCCAGCAGTATGTGGATCGAGAACTTTCAGAAGTACAGGCAGGATTTTGAAGAGGCAGAGGAACTAGAGATCAAATTGCCAACTTATGTTGGATCATGGAGAAAGCTAGGGAGTTCCAGAAAAACATCTACTTCTGCTTCATTGACTATGCTAAAGCCTTTGATTGTGTGGATCACAACAAATTGTGGCAAGTTCTTAAAGAGATGGGAGTACCAGACCATCTTATTTGTCTCTTGAGAAACCTATATGCGGGTCAAGAAGCAACAGTGAGAACTGGACACGGAATCAATGATTGGTTCAAAATTGGGAAAGAAGTCCGGCAAGGCTGTATTCTGTCACCTTGCCTATTTAACTTATATGCAGAGCACATCATGAGAAAGGCAGGGCTAGATGAATCAAAAGTTGGAATTAAGATTGCCAGGAGAAATATCAACAACCTAAGATATGAGATGATACCACTCTAATGGCAGAAAGTGAAGAGGAACTAAAGAGCCTTTTGATGTGGGTGAAGAAGATGAGTGCAAAAGTTGTCTTGAAACTCAACATTAAGAAAACCAAGATCATGGCATCAAGCCCTCTCAATTACTGGCAAATAGATGGGGAAGAAATGGAGGTAGTGACAGATTTTATCTTCCTGGGCTCCAAAATCACCACAGATGGGGACTGCAGCCAAGAAATTAAAAGACGCTTGCTTCTGGGGAGGAAAGCTATGGCAAATCTAGATGGCATACTAAAAAGCAGAGACATCGCTCTGCCAACAAAAGTACGTACAGTCAAGGCCATGGTTTTCCCAGTTGCAATGTATGGCTGTGAAAGTTGGACCATAAGAAAGGCTGAGCGCAAAAGAATTGAGTGAACTATGGTGCTGGAGAAGAGTCCTGCGAGTCCCCTGGACTGCAAGGCAATCAAAACGGTCAGTCCTAGAGGACATCAACCCTGACTGCTCTTTAGAAGGCCAGATCCTGAAATTGAAATTCAAGTACTTTGGCCACCTAATGAGAAGAAGGACTCACTGGAGAAGAGCCTAATGCTGGGAAAGATTGAGGGCAAAGAAGAATGGGACGACAGAGAATGAGGTGGCTGGATGGAGTCACTGAAGCAATAGGCATGAGCTTAAATGGACTCCAGAAGATGGTAGAGGATAGGAAGGACTGGAGGAACATTGTCCATGGGGTTGCGATGGATCGGACACAACTTCGCAACTAACAACAACAACATAGTTTTTAAAACCATCTACCAATTATGTGGCTTTATATATAATTTATATATAATTAAAAGGCATATATATGTTTTCAATTTTTTGTGGTGACCCACAATCCTGTTTTGATATGTAGGTTTGTGAGATCATCTGGTGTAGCTTTTTAACAAAAGGGCTCCAAGTTTTATTTAGCTTAGGACTCACCAAGTCTAAATCCAGCACTGATCAAAGTATCTTGGCCTACATAGAGTTAAATAAATGGTCTGAACTACAGGTTTTTAGTTGAGAGAAGAGGGAAAACACCACTTTAACAGTCAACAGGCTAAAGAGAACTTTTGGCTATTTCTGTGAGGGCTAGAATGAGACACAAGTGACGTTACAGCAGACATGTCAAACACAAGGTCTGGGGGCTGGATGCAGCCCACGAAGTGGTTTCGTGTGGCCCGCAAAGCCATCCTGGAAACAGTGAGAGAACAGCCCCCTCTGCCTTGGCCCTGGCCCAGGCCAGCCGGGAGCCAATGTACAATTTCATGGTGGACATCTATGCTGAAACACATTCAGTCTTAGCTCCACAAAGCCATCTGGAAACAGCGAGGAACCAGCCCCTGCCGCATCGGCCTTGCCCCCTGTGTGCATGTTGGGGAGGTATCACCCTTTGTGAGGAATGAAGAAATGCACCATCACCTGGAAGTGGCCAGCAAATGGCCCTCGCCTACTTCATATATCCAGCTTGATGGGCTCTGGGGGAGGGGTTTCGGCAAGCAGCAGGGCGCTCTCCTCACAGCAGTGAGAGGCTGAGCTGGGCAGTGTAAATCCAAAAAAAGCATGATGACACCCAGCCCCCAGCCTGCCCAGTTTTGACAGGCAGCAGGGTGCTCTCCTCACAGCGCCAAGAGCTGAGCCAGGTTGCACAAAACTGATGAGAAGTACAATGCTGCCTAGCCCCCAGCCTGCCCAGTTTCAGCAGGCAGCAAGATGTAAAGCTGGCGAGCATTGCACCGCTCGGCTCAACCTCTCAGCGCTGTGAGGAGAGCACCCCACTGTGAGCCTACTAAGCCGGATATGTGAAATAGGCGAGGGCCATTTGCTGGCCACTTCCAGGCTATGGTGCGTTTCTTCATTCCTCACGAAGGGTGACACCTCCCCAGCTGCGTTTCTTGCCTGTTTTTCTCCTTCCCTCATTTCAAATATTTTCCCACCACTCTGTACTTAGGAAGGAAGGAAGGAAGGAAGGAAGGAAAGAAGGAGAGGGAGGGTCTGAGGGAAGTCCTGCCCTACTGTCCTTTCACCATCCCCTTGCACCCTCCTCCTGGACTATCCTGGGGGTCTCCCATCCTATTGCTAAGGAAGCTTTGGATACAAAGCCAGGTATCCTCCCATGGAGAGGGAATGGGCCTCCCTCTGACTTTGCCCTCATACCTATCATGAGCAACCTGGCTAAGGAGAGCAAGAACAGCAGCAGCAGCCTTGAGGAGAAGACAAGTGCAGCTGGGTGATTGCCTGGGGAAGTGGGGCTGGGCTTGATGCCGTGGGTACTCAAGGGCCAGGCTGGGTGTTTGACCTCTGCTGCTCAGGGCTCTGGGCAGCCCGCACCACCATCCAGCCTCCCCCCTCATGGCCTGAGAGGAACAGTAAGGCTCCTCCAATGGACCATGCCTTGGCACTTGCCCTGGTCCCACCTCCTTCTGCCAGAGACCTTCAGATCTGTCCCATACCTGCCCAGGCGCCCACAGGAACCCTTGATGCAAACGTTATAGAGCTGGCTATGCCCACCCAATAGGCCACATCCACTCAATCCATGCCCACCCA